ATATATATATATATATATATATAGAGAGAGAGAGAGAGAGAGAGAGAGAGAGAGAGAGAGAGAAAGAGAGAGAGAGGAAGGATCATTTGAGAACTTATAGTTTCCCGAGAACCCGAGAACTAAACATGGAGCATTGGATTAAAAAAAAAGGATGGCCAAGATGCTTTGTGGTATTTTTGTAAATAAATTGAAAAGTAAAGTCACGGGGGTACGTTAACAAAATGACATTAGGGGTATTTTAGGGATATAAAAATTTATCCCCAATTAACTGATCTTATCTCTCTTTCTCGTCAAACTAGAACCTCGTTCCACCATGATAGCTTCTGGTGGAAGATTTCTCTCCAAACCCTTCACGACGACCATCGAATCCGCCAATCTCCCTAAAAACGACATCATCACCACCGTCTCCTCCAAAACCTACATCACTGCCACCTTTGCTAGAACGTACACCACAAACGCCTTCGAGATCTGTAATTAATAATCGCTCCTTGAACGACTTGTTTTTCGATCATCAATGAAGATGGAGAAGGAGATGTCTAGATTAATCTCGATTATGATCTTTCAATGATGAAATTCAAGATCTGGATGTTAGCAATTGGAAACTCAAGCTCTAGAAGTTGAAAGTTTTTTGTCGGATTTTCCTTTGCTGTTGTTTAATTTGAGGAAGAAGGTCATATTTACTTTCGTTTTTCATTTTATGTTGTTTAGTTTCAGTAGATGCACAGGTTGAGCTTTTTGATGCTTTAGTAGATGGTTGTAGAGAAGCAGTTAAAGGAGGAAGTATGGATGCAAAAGTACATCTCTCTCTCTCTCTTTTTTTTCTCTCTCTCTCTCTCTCTCTCTCTCCTATTATGCCAAAGACATAAATCAAATCGAAGATAGCTCTACAAAGCTAGGTTGTTGAAAACGAACTCTACCTAGCAGAACCATACGCGCCACATTTGCTTGAAGTTCTGTTTGAAGATGATCATTTGGTACTTTGATCAAAAACATCTATTTCTTGATCATTCAAATTTTGTTACTATTATTTATTTAAATATTGGCTTAGATTTTATTCATTGTATATTTGTATTCAGATTGCTCTAAATAAACCCTCTGGTTTACAAGTTTTATCTGGTGGACAATTTCAACAAAGAACTGTTCTCACACAGCTTCAATGGCATATGAAGAATCAAGAATCGTGTCCTATTCCAGTTCATAGGCTTGGAAGAGGAACTTCAGGTAACAGTAATACTTTTTAATGAACAATTTTTTGTGATTTGGATAATATGTAATATTTATTCTTTTATAATTTTCTCTATGACATGAATATTACTTTGTGCAAAAACAAAGCATGCAAAAACTAAGCTTGCAACTCTTTTTGCTGAAAAAACATCACAGGTTGTTGGTAACAGGTTAGCAAATAAAAATATTATGTTTTTAATAAACAGGTTAAGCATCTTTTACCTGTTTTCTCATCATTTAGTGTTACTAATTAAAAGTTAAAACACCTTCTTATTCGTTTGTAATCCACTGTTTTTTAAATATACTTTGTTTTTTTGTTAGGTTGTATCAAAACCGGGACCCACAGTGAAGAGGATCTCGGGGATCAATATACTTGACAATAATGGTCTGAATCTTGTATTGGTATTTTTAACTTCAGTTCTTACCTCTTTCATCTTCTTATACATATTATGAATGTATAATTTTACCCTTTTAATATGCCAAATATTGCCATAATGCCATTATTCATGTTGCACCCTTCATCATTCACATATGATGTTAATTTTTGCAACTCGGTTATGGTTTTTATGAGTTTATGTTTGTTATGTACAAATGGAAAATGAAAATAACATGATACTCAAGTATGATAATCGAAAAAAAAGCCTATTTCATCATCGAATAAATATTTACACTAGATTTATTTTGTAAAAATTAGAAACCGAGATGTTTAATAGATTGTTTGATTTATTAAGTTAAAACAATGAATCGATTGTTTGATTCATTGATCCGTGCACACAACCTGTTTGACTAGATCTAGCTGCAACAAGAAGTGCAAGGATAA